ATCTGTCCCCACTCCAAAGATTTCAGTAATTTTTTGTTCTGCTTGCTGGTTGCAAGCTTCTGCCCGTGTACACATCCCTCTGTGTGCATGCAGCATCCACCATATGGGATAGCTGGGTTTGGTACCATTTCAAATATCGACCCATGTCTGGACTGATTCTTTTGAATTCGACATTTCACAAGCCAATGCTTCATCTTTTTCTTTTGATAGTAATAGTTAATTTCCTATCTTGGAATATTCTTTTTCCTTTGGTTTGTTACCAGGGAGGTGACTGCAAAGGCATCCCTTAAATGAAAGTTACCCATTTGCTCTGTTGGTCACTTTTTCTGTAAAACGCATTTCTCGTGTTCTCAGATCTGCCTGCAGTCTCTTGAGGCTCACACTTGTGGGAAATTAAAATTCAGAAATAAAATATTTAATTACCAAAAATCCCAAGAAAAATAAAATATTAATTCACCTAGGGCAAATTTCCACTAGCCCTCTTTACAGGATATTTTATCTTTAGTTGGTTGACATATCTCCACATAAATCCAGGAAATACTTGGGGCTTAGTATTTCTGGCAGGTTGGTTTATAGCTAGTATTGTTCTGAGCCTTTCTCTGATTTTAGATCTTTATCATTTCCAAGGTCATGTTGACCAGACAGTATGAGTTAAAAAAAAACCCTGGTATCTGTTGATCCATTTGCGTGCATAAATAGCATATATGTATGTGCGTGTTTTGTGTACACATACTTAACATGGTGTGTAATGTCTTAGATTGTTTATGCCAATAAAAATTAAATTCAGAAAAGGATAACTTTTCTGTAGTTTTTCAGCCTCTGCTTAAAAACTTAATTGTAATAATTGTACTTGAAAAGCAATACAATTTTTTATTCTAAATTCCATGAATTGTAATTAATTTCATATTCTGTGTATAATAGCCACAGAACATTATTGCATTCATAAAACTGTGATCAGTATTTTAGAACAGAATCTCATTTTGACTTTGTGTCAACAAAATAACCTCATATAAATGTTACCGTAGTTCCAGAACTTTGTTACATGCTCTTTGTCTTCTTTATAACGCTACCAATTAGCAACCATAAAGCTTAATCCCAAATAGGTGTATTTAAGATTTACCACATACTAATTTATAGCTAGTTTTTTTGGGTTCTTGTGATGAAATTCTTACGATAACACTTGCCTGCAATGTCTCCTTTCCCATCAGATTCAGCTTCTCCTACAGCTGTGGGGCTCTTGTCATCTGCTATTTCCCAAGCCACAATTTCCTCATCAGTTTGTGGCTAAAACCCAAATCTTGATGATCCTTTTCCATCTAGTTCAACGCTGATCTTTCATCTTCTGCATTCTTTTAACCAGAAATCTTTTGCCAAAAACCTGACAAGATTGTACTGGGCGTCATCAGCAGCAACATCAGCCTTGATTTCAGTGAGCAAAGATAAAACAGCTGTTTCATTGTCCAGATCAGCACTCAAGCACTCAATATTTGGTCATAATTTTTTCCAGCTTTGTCTGGCTGTGATAGCCTTGATGTTTTTCACTCTATGACTAGTAGTGTAACTTATTATATTTTGCTGATTCGTTTCTTTAGTGGTTCAGAAATAGATACTGCTTCTTCAGACAGTATTTCTATCCTGTTGTCTTTTGAACTGTTCTGTATTGCCTGCATTCATTCTTCAGAAATTCTTGCTTCACTTTGGCAAGTCAGTGTTCTTGCAAAGTTACGTCCGGAATTGCCAAATGATGGCTCAACAGTTGCCGTCATGGGAAAGCTGCAGATGGCTTTGCCTTGTGAAAAGTAGTGTCAGATAAATGGCTAGAGTTTGAAAATTAGTGAAAATAAGTGATGTAAAGTGTCTGATGAAAGTTTAGAAAACTTCAGACCCTCTCCCTGTATGCATGTGGGAAGTATTTCTGTGGTGTATAGCTTGTCTTCTCAAAGCTGATGGAGATTTTGGATGTTGTTATAGCTAGAGGACACCAAAGTGGCATGTTACTATGTTCCAAAGCAACTTTTTTGTGCTTTTGGAGACAAAATTATTGACTGTACATTCAGAGGGAGGAGGACAGATGAGAGTTCTGTTTGTCATTGACATTAGTCTTTTTCTATTAACTTTGCATACCACTCTATATATAAGTTGATTGTTTTCACTGGAATAGGATTAAATTGTCTTTCTTATTTTAATTTACTTTTATAGTGGAAAATGATGAAGGCGTTTGGAAGTCATTCTCCTTCAATTAAATGATTTTTCTGTTTGTTTTGGGGTTTTGTATGTGTGCACATGTTGCACACTGCTTGATTCAGTGATCTGTTTTCTATTGGAGAAATTTACAAGCACATTGCCTGCCTCACACGAATTTGTTTCCCACAGAGATTCCTAATGCAATGTGTGAGGTTTCTCATTACGCAGTTATATGGATTACATTTTCACTCCAATAAGAACAAAATTAAATTACACAAAAATTAAGATGCGTGTAATCCTAATGTCTGATCTTTAGAAAAACCTTTTGTCATCTTTAAATGATAACCCTCTGCAAAATCAACGGTAGAAATATTCTGCTTTTGTCAACTGTGATGCCTCTGCAGTTTACTTAGCAGCTGATGCTACGGCAAAATATTAAGAGCCAACTGGACAGCAACATTGAGGATCAAATTTTTTTTAATAATTTTGTCTTTTGTAGCTTTCATTAATAAAAAATAATTACAACAAAGCCAATAGGCTGTGTTCATCAGTGGACCTCCAGTTCCATAGCCCACACGGTTTAATACACATTGTTCTTTTCTAATGTTAAAATAATGATGCAGTCCTTCAAAGTAGGTTTTAATGCCTTTGGTTTTGCCTAAGTGTCGCATTTTGAGCAGATTTATGCATGAAAGACAATACAGTTCAAAATTGGTCGTTGTCAGTTCAAATTTATACTTAAAATGTGAGGAACAAGCACAATAATGTATAAATAGCAAAACACCTTTTATTTTGAAACTTAATGGAAGTTATACATTTCTTTGTGATCTTCATATGTGGCTCAAATTTTTCAATTCCCATTAAACATTCAGATAATTATTTTACTTTAGTGATCAGCAAGGTTTATGCATGTGCATCTCCGTTGGCTAACAACCATGGTATTTTAAGTTAGTTCTATTTCACTTTTTTGTTATCATAAATTTTTTTCTTCAGACTAACAGGACTGAAATTAAGAGTCAGAGGTGCAAGTCGGAACGCAGCATTTCATAATCGGTTTTCAGAATATTTGTGCTCCAATCAGTGTTTCAAGTTTTCTTCTGTACATTTCAAAATATGTAGTTTGACATGCTTCACATTATAATGTCATGATCCAATATTAATTTATTTTGGTTTTCAGTGGTTCACAAGGTACTTCTTTTTCTAGCAATCTGTAGGAGCTGTTCCACTTGGTGTGTCAGTAACTCGGAAAAAAGAGGATGAAGCATCAGTTGGAAGTGCACCTTTGGCAAGGCAGCAATCTAATCAAGCCTCTGAGTATGCCAGCAGTCCTGTCAAAACAAAAACAGTGACAGGTATGATCACTTAATTGAAACTAGCCTTTCTGCAGTTGCAATCTCCCAGTAACATGCCTTCACCACTGAACAGCATCAGCTGTGCAAATACTGTGGAACAACTTTCAGCACTAAAGAACTTTAAAATTTTTGAATTAAAAATAATCAAATGTAGAACTTTGAAATACATGTTTATTTTTTCTCTCATTTTCATTTAGTGCTGTCTTTGGGGCCCTGATAATTTCGTGTAATACAGTTTTTAAAGTGAGATAAACGATATCAATAGGATATCTGCCATTTGCCTTGATACTTAGTCCATAATTTTGTCAAACTTCACTGTGATTAACCTCTGATTTCAGTCAGTCTGTTTGTATTGCTTAAAGTCTGGCATGTATGGAAGTCAAGATTTGTGCATGAAAAGTTAAAATTCGTTGTTTTCAAAATCACCCATAGAAAGTGCATTTGCTGGCACTTCTGTTTCTGGACTTCAAGAAACTGTTTAAGTTTAGGAGTATTTTCTGACCGCTTAAGAGTCTAAACTGAAACTTTGTTATCACTAATCAGGATGATATGGTTTTCTGGAAATTTCTAGTCTATTTATTCATATAGTACTGTCTGCAAGTAGTAAAGTAGGTGATGATCCAAAGAAAATTACTGTCCAGCCAAGACATTTATTGATCCTTCTGAAATACACTACGCAAATTCTATTTTCCTTTGATGTTTATTTCCAGATAATCACAAAGTACTTCAAGATGTTGTCTGCTGAAACTAAGATTACAGTATTGTCCATTAGTGGTAGAGTTAAATGCTGTTTTAGGATAAAGGCCTATTTTGATAAAAAGGGCTAAAACCAGAAAATTTGTTTGCTGAATATTAGTGGGTTCAGGTGTTATCGTTGGTAGTAAAACAATAGATTAATATCAAATACTTCTATTTTAGTTATGAATATTTTTCATTTTTACCATTTGTCCATTTATTTTTACAATTCATGTATGCATTTCCTTCATTTATGCCTAATATATAGGGAAATATATATGCCCATATAATTACATGACTGTATCAAGCATATTCCTCTTTTAACTGTATTTATCATCTGTTCTGCTGTATTAATATAATGTTCTTTTCTTCTTGAGTTTAATTCTAGCTGTGCCTGCAAGGTACAAAGTGTAATTCACTAGAGAAACTTTTGTGATTTTGAATATTTGTCTCAAAGCCAGCTATTTGCATAAACAGGTTCTAGATTAGTTTTTCTTAATCACTGATTTATAAAAAGTAGGCATATGATTTGCAGAAGTAGCTTTGTACTCAGATTTTGAAAATCAGTGTCCCAGTCTGCTACCTGTCCAGCTTGGTGGACCTTTTTGTTTTTCAGCCTTTGTTCTTCACCTTGAGTATTATCTTTTCTATAATAAGGATCACACCAGAATTCTCTACTGAGGGAAAACATTATCGTTCAAAATCTAGGAAGGCTGTGGATGTCAGTTTTGTTTTTTGGGGGGCTTTTTTGTGTGTGTGTGAGAAATAACAAAATGAAATTATAAATAACATCATAAAAACAAAATAAGGATTTCTGTGCATCTCAGCTCCTTCCACCTTTTAAACTGAAGTCAATATCGAGATTTATTTTCAGTTACTAAGTACAACACACATTTATGGAAAAATTAAAAGTTCATTTGTGGATTTAATTTGTGTTAACTACCACTTACTTTACTCAATCAGTTTATCAAATACGTTGAGGGTTTTTTGAGATTAAGTAGATATTTGGCTTCTCTATTAAACAGTTTTGCAGCACAGAGTTTAATGCTGTGAAATGAAAGGTGATGGTACTAATTCTCTCAAGAGATAACATTGACTAAGCATTTTCTGTTTTGATTTAGAATCAGTCCTTTAAAGAATTGTTGAATTTGGTTGCATTAATTCTCAACTGTTAAAAAAATGCCTGAAAAAGCTGGAAAACTTGTGTGTTGAGGTAAAAACAGTTTAATATAGAAAGCACAAGCCCCACATGCAAGCACAGCAAACCAAGACATTAATTCCCTGCTTTCCATGGACATGTAGGTATTCAGCCATCTCCAGGAGAGCAGGGCCCCATCACACGTAATTGTTACTTGGGAGGACAAACCCCATCACTCCAAACATCCCCCCTCTATATATACAGAGCACGATGTCCCATGGTATGGGATATCCCCTTGGTCAGTTTGGGTCACCTGTCCTGGCTGTGTCTTCTCTCAATCTCCCAAGCACCCCCACCTTCCTCGCCAGCGTGGCAGTATGAGAAGCAGAAAAGGCCTTGGCTCTGTGTATGCACTGCTCAGCAATAACAAAAACATCACTGTGTTATCAAACCTGTGTTCAGCACAAATCCAAAACACATCCCCATACCAGCCACTCTGAAGAAAATTAACTCTACCCCAGCCAAAACCAGCACACCTGTGTTTTAATAAGTTTATGTGTTTCTTATACTCTGGAGATAAAATGGCAGGTGTAACATACCTGAAATATTTGATATTAACATGAAAAAAAAGTGAATTCTAAAATGGATGTCAAGGACTGAAAGCCTTGTATAGTAATGAAATCAATTAAAAGGTTGCCCTTTCTGCTGCAGTAAACCACAGAGATTTCCCTCAATTAAAGAAAGAAAGGAGAGTCATGTCACACTGCAGTGCCAACAGGCTTGTTCTCTGTGTAGCCTCCTGCAGCTTCATGCCTGTAGAGTTCTCATGTGCCAGGTTTGTCAGAGTTGGCTTTGTAGTGGAAGATTCAGGGGTCTGTGGAAGCTAACACATATTTTGTGTCACATGAAAAAGCTCTCTGATTATGAAGCCACCAGTTACAGTGGTTAGAAAAGGTTACACAGATGTAAGTGTGAAAGGTGAGATCTCGTTCTCAGAAAGTTTCAGTGGATCCTTTCTTTCACAATTTCTTTCTTTACAGCTGTATAATGTGTTGGAATATGGCAAATATGACTTTAGTTCATTGCAGTAAGAACAGAGTGCCTGTGATTCTTCTCCTTTCTAATTCTTCTGGGTCCCCCTTTCACTTAAATTCCTTTCTTTTAATTTCATCTACTTTCTGACATACTTTCATTATTTGTGTCATTGTTTTAAACCAGGAATACCACACTGATCATAGATCTAGGACATATAGTACTACCTATGCTACAAGGCCATTCTAGGTAAAGAGGCAATGACTCTTGTAAGCCTCATATTTATTAATCATCAAGGCTCTAGTTACATGTGTTTTAAATTATCAGAAAACTGAGATCCTAGATTGATAATATGCATAGTTCTTAAAATTTGAAAGAGATTTCATCTTAAAATCGTGGTAATTTTGGTGGTAATTTTGAATTAATTATTTTCAAGTCTAACACGATCTCAAGAAGTCACTCCCTTGAGAACTGCTAGAAAGCAACCCTATGTACTAGATGAAAGCAGTTTGTAATCACAGCTGTAAAATGATTTAAAACATCGATCTTGAGTTCAGTTTATTAGTTAATGGCTGCTGAGACCTTGCCAAAAATGAAGCATGGGAAAAAAGCAAACCTACTATTTATATGGTATCTGTCTGTGAACATCCAGGGTTTCTGTTCTTAAGTCTCAAATTGTAGTTATTTATATATCTCCTTAACCACAGAGGCTTCAAAAACAGAGTAGGATAATAGAATGTATGGTTTAAATTTTGTATGATATGACTGTGAACAAGCAAGGTGATAAAGATAATTATAAAAACTTCTGTTTCTCTCTCCACCCACTTCTCCCATTCTCGGCAATTCAGCAGCTCCATGTTAGTTCAGTAAAAAGTGATTTGCAGACCCACAGTTGTGCATAGAGGTATAACTCTTATGTCTGGATAGTTGCAAAATGATTGCTATATGTGTGTGTAGTTATGTAATACATGTAGCGTACCTATACAGGAAGATAGTGTGGGCTGCAGTAGATGGATAGTGCAGTCTTTGAAAGCTGTCTTGTGTACACCATTGAATAAGGATTACAACTGAAGTGCCTGTGTTCACACATTAAAGATGAGTGCTTGTTCATTACTAAAATAACCCATAAATTTTGTTTATATTTATTAAATTATTATAATATTTTTACAGTGCTTGAAAAACATAGTAACTTTTTCCATGATTAAAGATGAAATTGGGTTGTGTAGGGTTTTTTGGTTGGGTTTTTTTGTTTTTTTTTACCACCTGCTAGAGAGGCCTTTTTGTAGTCAATGTAATGAAATTTCATTTCAGCAACATCTATCAGTGTTTGGAAGTCACTGTGATATCCCAGATACAAATTTGACGCTGCCTTGTGAGATGTCACCCAGTGACTATGTCATATAATTTTTCAGTAACAGTGGGAAAGTAGTCTCCCATATGGTCTTATTATGAGGAATGCCTTTAATGGAAGGAGCTACTTACAGAACCTGAAAAGGTTATTAATTTTTTTCTCACTCAGAATCCTCAAAGTTGACTTTTTTAATAGCAACAGAACAGGTAGGTAAGTGGAATTTAATGTATCATCTAATAAGTTATGAAATTTCTGGTAATAGTAGGCCCCATAACCTGTTAGAAAGGCATCTGAAAACTGAATGCCTTGTCCATAACTGCATGTACACTCGTCGCATAAAATTTTGCTGATCCCTGTTATGGAATAGCGAGATGTTTGCCCGTGGCACAGGTGGTGACTGCATTTCAACCATGTGTTCATTAGGCCTGCAAATGCGGGCAAGTGCTTTTTACCACTGTGTCTAGCACCCGATTGCTCCGTTTAGTTGTCTGGTGGACAAATTGCAAGGACATTTGCAAAAGAGAATCAAACAGTGGTGGATTTGGGGCAGCGTTTTTCATAGACTAGGTCTTCATGTCACACAGCTCACTGGTCTTTTAATTCCACTACAAATTCAGTCTTACTCCCAAGTTCGAAGCTGAGAAGAGAATCCAGCGTTGTTTCATTCTGCAGGAAGTGTCGATGTGTTGCGAAAGGGCGTGTGCACATGGAGAGAAATATAGGACATGAAGGCACTCCAGTTTG